TACCATAAGATGACCTGGCTGACCAATTCATAACTGCCTTTGAACACTTCAGGCTCTGGGGCCTTGATTTCCCCCCAAAAAAACAAATAAAAAAGGATAAAAATTTAATTTGAAAAAGGACTCTAGATTGGTCAGCAGAAGTTTTTCATTCCTTTCTCTCATTGGTCTAGATGAGACGCTTTTGATGTCTTCTTCAGGAAGGGCTTATAACAACAAATTCAAAATCAAATGTCAACATATAATAACTATTTTATACTATTCTTATTTACTATAAGGCAACTATGTAGTTTTTGTTAAACAAAATGTTTGATTGTTAGAAATATCTTTGTTAAAAGGTTTTGTTGCCTTCTCAGCGTTGTTCTGATCGACTCAAAGTCACAAATTGCAGAAGGAAAGCAGAAACATTACGGATGGTGTTAAGAGTGTCTGATCATTAACGAGATAATGCCAAGAGACTCATCTCTTCCTGTCTAATGACTCAGTGGCAGTTGTTTCAAGGGATCAGGCTTCTCATCCAAATGCTTAGGCTCCTCTCAACAAATTCTTTTGTTTTTACAAAAATCAAAGTATGTGCTGATAAGAAAGCTCTGGTCATCTAGGAATAGTCCATCTACACTGATATATATTTCTAAAACAGACACCATGTTTCAATGACATTTGTTGAAGTATGAACTAACCAGATTAGGAAAATTTCCAGGTTATTCTTATGAGAAAGTAACAGTTACAGTTAAAGTCAATGTAAAATATAATGCCATTACGATATGAGAAGATTTTAAACATCTACATTTTACTGACAAATTTTTTCTTTGCCCTTTGCTCCTCCACCAACCACCATTGATGCAAAGACATAAAATGGGATGAATATTTCAGTGTCATTTCTGATTTCAAATAGATAGACGTTTCAAAAGGTGATTCTCTCCTGAGGAAATGCTGCACCTTCAGAGTTGAAATATCATCTGAGAAGCAAGACAGTAAAAGTCAGTCATCTTGGAATGGAAATTTTCTTGTGGTGGCTTTCCTTTTCACTTTAGCGTTTATGGGAAAGAGACTCCTCCTCAAGTAGAGTTTTCAATGATGTTTTTTTGGAGGATATGGCAACAGAGAGCATATTTATAAGCGCTGGAGTGTCAGCTACTTAAAGTATATTAATCAAGTGCCATGTTCAGGTAGGTAACCAGTAATCAGACCTTGTGGTTGTTGCATGGCAGATAGAAGAACAAAGACTTGTGCCTCTTCCTTAAGTCATCAACTGCTCCTACGCCTTCAGGTGTGGTCACTTCTGTCAGTGCCGTAGCTTTGGCAGGGACACCAGAACTAAATAAAAATATTTATAGCAATCATAAACGTTTCATATTAATGAGGCCTCTGGCAAATTGAAAACCACATTTCTTGCAAATCCCCGTGTAAGTTGGAGGATGTATTGTCTGGTCCCCCATTCTGCATCATTGCTACCATATGTTGATTTTTCTTCGCATAAATCAGCTTTGAATTGGAGTTTGCCTTGTTTTAGGAAGGGGGGGGGGTAATATCTAGAGAGAAAACTTTTGTTAGTCTCATATCAGATGGGAGGACTCAGGCGTAAAAAAGTGAAGTAGAAACAATCTTACATAAGGTTGATTCTTACTTTACGGGGCAATTGAGGTAGAAGGTGTGTGTTCACAGTGCCTCTGCTGAATATTTCCCCGAAGACAGAGCAGGCCGGAGGCAGCGAGGTCAGGAGATAGAGTTCAGAGCACTGACGGCAGCTTCTTTGACTTTGATGAGCCATCAGTGTTCAGCGCACTGCTTACGTATCCCCCCTCCCCACCTTCTGCTCTAACCCTCAAGCGTGTTTGCTCAACCTGAACGTACGCTAGCCTCTCATAATGCTGCCCGTTGCAAACTTTGTCTCCTTGCAGCTGTTTAATGGCTGCACGTCTGTTTTTGTTTGTTTCCTCGCCATAAGATTATTGCACCTTTATGGCTGATCGGGGGCTTGGAATAATCCCTGGCATCTGTTCAGCCAGAGAGGGGGGGAGAAAAAAAGCTGAAGGTAGATGTGTATTTTTTTTTTTGTAGTTCCTAGTTGTTTTGGATTCTCCATAATACGAAGCCATGTGGTCCTCTATATTACCACTGTCCGCTGAGACAGAAGCTCTGGCTCAATTTTAAAGGAAGAGTGATGAAAGGGCTGGGTGCACAGAGGTCACTGAACAGGTTTCTTCTTGCCATTTATCCTTCCCAAAATGAGCACAGAGGAAGAAAACGATTTAATTTAATCACTGATGTGATTTAGTTACAAATACGCAGAGGAAAGTAATGTTGCTATTAGTTAATTAGCTGTCCCCTCATGTCAGGGCTAACTTTACACATTCCCCAAGTGTTCCCTTTTTACCTTAATTCTTTCAACAAAATTGTAGTGCTTCCTTAATTTCAAGTTTATTATTGCTGTTTTTCTTTTAAATTGAACCTCCTCCGGTAAGCCCTTATCCCCTTACTATCTTTTTTAAGTCACTCCTTTCTCGTTATGGTTTTGAGCCTCTGGTCATTAAGCCAAGAGAATAGGAAGTTAATCAGCGCTGCATTATCTCACAGTCTGCTCCTGTAGGAAACAGTTCCAGTCTTACTAGCACCCCCTCTTCCACTGGGACGCCTGCCAGCCTGGGAACCCTTCACACTGCAACACCCTGCAGCCTCCCTACAGGCTATCACCAGTCGGCTGAGTCGTTGCCAGGTCACACATGTGACACACCATTGATGAGCCAATGGGAACCCTTTTGCCGTGGTGCATACCCAAGTTCTTTGAAGACTCTTTGAGTCTCAGGATTGCCAAGAAGCAATGAGGTTGATATGTTTTTGTTGTTGTAGTTCACAGCAGCTGCTTGTCCTCCATTGTTTTATGGAGTGCTTTACTTTTTGTTTGTCTGTTTCATGAAATCCCAGTAAATATGGACAATCAACCAATTGTCTGGAAGATGATCAGATATGGGAAGTAACGAAGTACAAATACTTCGTTACTGTACTCAAGTAGATTTTTCTGATATTTTTACTTTACTTTACTACTTATTTTTATGGCAACTTTTTACTTCTACTCCTTACATTTTTACACAAATATCTGTACTTTCTACTCCTTACATTTAAAAAAAATGGCTCGTTACTTTAGTTTTGAATCATTTCAATGGAGTTACAGTTATTATTTTTCACGTCATCAATACCAAATTCAATCTAATTGGATGGGAATCTACGTTGCATTTGACGCACCACTACAAGATGAATCGACAGATTCTGCGGTATTCATTGGCGGCAAATCATTGCAGCTTGGTGGCGGTGGCGTTAGCATAGTAGTATGGACAACGAGATGATTGAAAATGAACACAACAGAGATCTAGTCCTATTGGCAGACATCCATTTAAAATGTAGGCAACGGCATGAAAAAAGTGGTTTCTACTTTTACTTTTATACTTTAAGTAAATTTACAAGCCTGTACTTTGTTACTTTTACTTGAGTAAAGAAGTTTAACCAGTACTTCCACTTTTACCAGAGTATTTTTTAACACAAGTATCTGTACTTTTACTCAAGTACGGAAAGTGAGTACTTTTGCCATCTCTGAAGATGATAAGGTTTTATATCCAGGGAGCTATTCTGAAAGGGTTACTAACAGAGTCCTCCAAATACAATGTACATGTCATAGGAAAACTCTATAGTGATATAGGAAATAAAAGGCCTCGCTCATTTTTACTAAGGAATTTAGATTGCATTTATCATGTAAAGTTGAAATTCTCAAACCAAATTAGATTCTCCACACTGGAAAGAGATTCTTGAAACACAGTTTGATACTTATGATACCTTTTTATTTTCATGGAAACATGTTTTATCTTAAGTTTTAATATGTTATATCAGATTTAGTACTGTTTGGGTTTGCATTGAGCTTGGAGCTTATACCAACAATCAATGAGAAAAAGGTGTTTTACGCAGGTTTAAAAAAGCAATGTCTCTATTCTCAAATTTACTTAAAAAGAACAGGTTACACGTAAGATGCAATCTTCCAACTAAAAATTGGAACGCCAACTTAATATACTCTTAGTGTTATCCCGTTACTCAAACAAAAGTCAAGGTTCCTTTTTTATTGCTTTTGTTTAAAATCTTTTCTGGTAAGGAAAACATGTTTTTTTTATAAATTAGACAAAACTTTGCATACAAGGGGGCATAAAGTCTGGCTATGTAGTTTGTTCTATTCAAGAGTCCGACCAACGTTCTAGGGAAGATTGAATTGCTGGCTGTCACTAGTAATTATTAGGTTGTCAACCATTATCCAATGTTCCTTTATTTCCGTCGATTAGTTTTGGTGGGAAAATGCCTGGGTATGGTCTGACGTGCTCTATCCTTCCACTCAGAGTGATGCAGTAGGCAGGGTAAAATTGGGTAAGAAGAAAGTGTTTGAAGTATCTCTATTTGTGCCTGTGGCAGTTTAGGTTTTTTTTATCACTATTTTAGTGTTTATAGCATCTGTACACAAAAGACTCTAAAGGATCTACAGCTTTTTCTGAAGTAGCAGTATGCATGCATGTCAATATTGTGAGACTTGCATGTAATTATTATTCAAAGGTTAAAGAGAGGATTGATCCATGGAGGAGTGTCAAGGGCAGATCAAAGGGATTTGGGGGAGGATCGGACCTAAAATGTTAAAAGCTCTTCGCTCTTAAACACAGAGATGTCAATCTCTCTGAGAGCACCTTGATGTCCTTAGAGGAGAACTTGATCAAAGCTTTCATAACAAAGATGGTCTCAGAAGATGATCTGACCTCAGATGCATCCCACTTCTGTCTTTCATTTTACTTCTATCCGGGTGCGTTTACCTGCCTGAACTCCCCGATACTGCCCCTGTTTCCATCTTTTCCCGTGTTTGTTCTGACGGTTAGACTGAATATCAATGAAGCAGTTTCACAAACGTATTACAAACACAAGAGAACAGTTATTAAAGATGACATATTCAAGCCTTTTCTCTTCTCTCTGTTTCACAGGAGATTGCAGCTTACTTGATAACATTTGAAAAGCATGAAGAGTGGCTAACGACATCCCCTAAAACAAGGTAAGACAATGAACCTCTTGCACTCCTTTAAACAAACATTTCTTAAAATGCACAAACTATTACCTTAAAGGCGTTAAAATGACCGTATTTAATTTAGCATATTTTCTTAAGGCAGTTGCACAACACCTCTCAAGTTCAGGGTGGATTTCTTTCCTTTTGCATGCTTCTGATTTCAGTTTTAAAAAGTTCACAGTTTTCAAATACATCACAGAATATTATTACTGACTAATAACTGCCTTTTAGCATGCCAATTAACATAACAGGCATTAGCACAACATCTGCTTTTGAGTGGTGTGTTAATACATTTGGATATGTCAGCACACTCAGCTCGCAGCAGTTGAGGTCACAAGTTACACCCACATATGGAATCAAATGCCAAGAGTAACTATGATATTTGGAAATGTGTAGGGGTTCCTGGATTGCACTTCATGAAGCTCGTTAATTTATGCATATAGATGAAAAAATATCCCCTTGGCTCTTCATTTAACTTCAACCCATAAAACTTAATGTTAGGCTGTGTGTTAGTGGCAATAAAATGTGTAATGTATGCATGCACCAAATCCAGGATGAATATTAATAATGCATGTGACTTGACAGTCACTTGACAGCACTAGATTGCTCTTTGTTTGAGTTGTTTTGGTTAATCTACTAAGATCAGACAGCGGCGGGATTCACAACCTTGGCCCCTTTGTAGGCTGTCATGACTATTGCCAAAACTGTGAGACCGACCGATCATCGCTGCAGCCCATCGCCCAGTTTTTCAAAATTTTCTGAAAACTAACACCTTTTACTTTTTGTCAGACAGCATTTCTTGCTATGTTGGTACCTCAGACAATCATTATACATTTATGAATGTATGTTGGGTATATTTACATAGAACCCGTGGCTCACCCTGGCCTTTCCGTTTCTGCCTTCGAGAGGCATTGATAAGAGTCCTGCATAAAGCCATTGCCAATTAGAAAATGTTTGCTTTTATAATTACTGATTAAAAGACCCCTGTGCTCTCTTGCTTTTTGTTTGTTTTTGTTTTTTTTTACTAATCAAGTAGAACTGCTTGCTCAATTAATTAGAATTCAGTGTAAAGCTTAAACATCTTCAGATGCTGGGCCGCATGCAGTGCTTTCCAAAAATAATCATACTTCTTAAGCTTTTTTCTACCCTAATTTGTTGTCTTACAAACACAAACCAAAAAGTATTGCATTGGATCTTAGAGAGAACGTATAAAAAGGTTGTAATTGTAAGGTTGTAATCCCTATATCTTGTATACACCATCTACAGTATTATACAATTTTCAGTCTCCATTTGCACTTTTTTATGTCACATATTCAGTAATATGGTAATTTGTATACAGAATTGAATGTTTAAATCTTTGCTGCCTTATTTTTAACCCAAACATCAAAACGTCACCAATCCTGGCACAGGGCAAGACAGCCTGAAAATGCCTAAGGTTTGATGCTGTGACTTCTTAGACAAAGTCTTTCCAAGATGCTCCTGGCTACATCCTGTCTCCACTGAGGGTCTGTTACTCAATTCTCAGGTGGCTCATGTTGACCATGTCTTGGTGCAGGTGTTGTGGTAGCTCAGATGTGTCACCAGGGAGTATGTCCTAAAGTCTACTTACAGATATAACAAAACACCTGACCACACATCAAATGCTTTATCACAACCACCAATCCATGACACAGTGTGTGTGTGTTTGTATTTCATTTTTGTTATTTATATATATATATATATATATATATATATATATATATATATATATATATATATATATATATATATATATATATATTTGTAGTGGTAGGTACAGGAAAAAAATGTTTTAAGGTGTTTTTTTTTATTTTTTTTATTTCAGCGAAAGGGTGATCATAGGGATGAATGTTACAGGGTGAAAGAATACATCTTGTTTGTGATTGATAGGAGCTGATAGATTGCCAGCTTTTAAGTGAAAAGCTTCATGTTCAAGGTCATCTTTGGTAGATCACACATAGGACACCTATGGTTTAATTCTGCTGTATTATTTGGCATTGCACATTGTAAGGTACGTGCATGAGTCAGACTGTGGCTGTGTTGTCTGCATGTCTGTTAGTGTGTTTACCCCTGTGGGGAGTAGGCTAAGAAGGCTAATTCTTCCCCAGCTTGCATCTCTAGACTGGGGCAGTGGGGTATGATGGAAAGCAGAGATAAGCAGCGGGGTCATACACAGAGAAGCACAGTGTTGCACTGCTTGCACTGCACGCATGCTACTGCTCTGACACATGCAGGTCATAAACAGAGGAGTGAGCCGCAGCCAGAGCTCAAGGAGCTGACGCCAGCTGTTTGACCAAGGTGACACACAATGCAGGACATGCCCTGAATAGAGATGGCATCCTGTCAACACAAGGAAGATTAAATGAAGTGGACCAATGGCCTGCACGCACAGATGTATTTTGTGAGAATCATGCTGATGTCTATGACCATCATCTGTAAAGCAATGATGCACCCCACACTCCTCTATTGTTTTGGTCTGTTCTTTCTTTATCATTTCAAAATCTGAAGGATGCTAGGGGACAGTGGTGGAATGCTGAGTGATTGATGTGCTTAACTCTAGTAATACACATCCCCTTTTAGATAGGAAGTGCAACAGTGCTTAAAATCAATATCAGTGTTCTCCCACTGACTGCACGAACAGCACTACAGCTAATTCAGGCTGCACCTGTCAGAGCTGGGGAAATCTTTCCCTACTCTGGGCTTACACTTTAATTTACACCAACAGCCTCTCTGCCTTCCATTTCCATTAAAGGGAGAGCCTGGCATTATGGCTTTAATGAAGGCCACAGCCAGGCTGTGATTTAAGATGGCCGTTACCTTGCACCTTCGCTCTGCAGGAGGGAACACACTTATAGCCACAATTAGAATTTTCCTCTACTGCTGATTTCTGGATAGCCATACTTATTCTTTTCTTTTGCCTCTTTCAAGATTTCACCATGTTGCTTCTACTGATGGTATCTGAAGGCACCTGTGGGAACAGAGGTAAAACAGGAGCATTGTAAAGAATTGCGCTTTCAAATCTAGACATTAACATTTGATTGACCTCATCATAGGCGTAACATTGTGCTCCTGTTGAGAGCAGGCAGTTATTGTCCATCATAGATGACACAAATGTCCCCTTGAGGGTCTTGTTCCAAGGTATTTGAGTGCTGACAGATGGAGTAACTGTTGACTGAACGTTGTCACAGATTGGTCTGCCCAAAGACCTAATGGACACCTGTGTTTCATGGCGAGACAACTCATTATGCTGAGCATCCTGTAACTGCTGCATGGTTTCATTAAATAACAGCAAAGGATTATTATTTCTGGCGTCCGCTGTTTGTTAATGGTACTGGTTAAATGCAGTCTGTTTCAAATCCAAAATAATATATATATTTTTTTTTTTCTTCGTTGTTTGTATGATTGCTTTGTGATCTAATAGTTGTTACAGTTGAAAGATCACAATAATTACTACTACTTGGGTGGACCCACCTTATGGGGACTAAAGCCTGGTTTCCATGAGTAAACGGCTGTTTTGGGTAAGGGGTGGCCATAGCATTCAGTTCTGAAATGAGTTAAGTTCATGTTTAATATCACATATGGATCATATACATAGGTAGTGATTTAGATTTAAGGTCTGGGTTAGAGTATAGGAATAAAATAAAGATGAAGAGAAGTCATTGCGACCTTCCTGTTAAGATGGATCTTAATGGGCATGTGAGCAGTGATTGATATGATTTCCATTTTTTCTTTTATGAAAACATGCTCTGAACCTATTAGAAAGCTGATGTAGTTGACTGTGTCAGCTATGTGCTTTGAGTTTTACCCAAATTTATACAAGCAGACATTTTACATGAATGGAGGGGGGGCAGACTTTCTCTCCTTCTCACACACACACAACAGATTGTATATTGAAACTATCAAACAATAAGATTCTCTCCTTCGAGGGTCCCACAATGACACTGAACCTCGTAGCCCCTGTGTCCCAGCACAATAGCCCTCTCCTCTCACATCTACGGCAACTGCAGCAAAATGAAACCCAGTCCCTTCAGACAGCTTCCAAAGACAATGCTTTTATTAAAACCTACAGCTGTGGTGCCACCCCAGAGGCACCGGTACACCAACAGCAGCAAGAAGCAGAACTAAAAGGCCAGAAATCTACTAATGATCGTTTTGTTTGCTATTGTGTAAAGAGGCTATGACTTTATTCAGAATCTAGTGTGTGGATAAAGGAAACTGTGTTTTTCTTTGTGTATTGATATTTACAGTGCCTTGCAAAGTATGACTGTTAAACTTTTATTTTTTTCTCCATACGTTAGTCAGGTTACAACCAAAAACTTAACTTATAAGATTTCACACAAGGCACAAGGTTGTGTATAGGTTTTATTGGAAATGCAAGTATACTGATACAGTACGCCTATGGCCACAAATATTGTTTTATCTATTTTATTCAAAAGATATTTGCAAAGAAATGCAGCTTTATTATTGCATTATGGAAAATATTTTCTTATTATTGCTTTATTTTCATTATCCACTGCAGTATTGTGGATGCACCCCCACCTTACCCCGCCATACTTTCTGAATGATAATGGTTCTTTAAAGTTTATCAAGCTGCTATACATATGGTAAAGCTCACTCCACTGCAAGTAGAGGCAAGAAAATACGAAACATAAATGTTCCCCTCTGTCCTTGGTCAGGCAGTGGCTCTGTCACTTTGACGTACAAAACGGTACGGTGGCTCTTACCTGAGGAACCTGCCTCAATCCGCAGAAACAGCTTAACTTTGGAACCTAAAGGAAGTCTGCTGGTGTGCACAGCATCTTTAAGATATAATCATTTAAAATTTAAATCGATGATATCACCATTAATCTCTGACTCGAACCAAAGTGGTCTACTCTTTAAGTGCTTCATTTATGCGGATTTGTGGCATTAAAACTGTTATTTGTGCTGCTTTAGTTTTTAAGATAACATGAATTATGAAATAAGGCTTG